CGGCTCGTTTTTTTTTTTTTTTTTTTTTTTTTTTTTTTTTTTTTTAATGACATTTTTTTTATATGCTAATTGTTGTGGTGCAAATTGTTGAATGACATTTTTTTGAAAGAATTTAAAAATTGCATCATTTATTATTTATACAAATTACAAATTAAATAAAAGTACAACTTTCAAAATTATGTAATTTATACGAATAACAAAATAAATAAAAGTTACAAATTACAACCCTCCTCCTTTTTCCGGGCTTGGGACCGGCTACAATCAACGTAGGCGGAGTTAAAATTGTATACGAATAAAATATTTCGTGTACAATTTTTTTGAATCAAATAAATTTAAAAAATACATTTCTTAAAGAAAAATAATTAATTTAAAAACTTACAACATCCTATGTTTGGATATGCTGCAACTCTTCGGCCATTATACTATCAACATGTTCTTGAACACGTAATTCTGCACATTCCCAATCCTTCAAACATATCAAAGCCTCCAATATATCTTCTTTTAGTCTTGATCGTTCATCTGATAAAATTCGACCACCTAAACTGAATGCAGCCTCCGATGCTACCGTAGACACCGGAGGTGTTAGTAGATCACGTGCAATTTTTGATACAATTGGATATTGCCTTTCGTTACATCTCCACCAATTTAAAAGACTAAATTCTTGTAATTCGTGCGGTTGCAACACACTACGAACATCCACGCACATATACCTAGCTAACTCAGAAGGAATTTCAAGATTTGTACCACCAATATTGATCGCTCTAGATGTTGATGAGCTAGAACTAAAACTAAATGAAGGAGCACTTGTATTGCTATCTAAATAATTCCATAAAGTTTCGGGATTTGTTGTAATATTTCTTGAAAAAGAACTTTGGGAAGTAGAACTACGCTGACCTTCCTTTTCAGCATAATAATTATACATTTCACATAAAAAAGATTCTATATGCACATGTGATAATTCTATATTCAAAAAATCTGATATCCCCTTTACAGTAGTTTTTGTGCCAGTTAAATTAAGTCGAGGGTCCATTACTGAAGCTAAAAGAAAATAAAGAAGGCAACTCTTCCCAGTATTTACAAAATTTTAACTCCATAGAGCGGACTACATCAGCAAAAAGTGGCAAATTCCTATATTTATGAAATGCTTGTGAAATGTAGAAAAAATGTTGTAAAACAAGAGAAGATGTAGGGTAATAAACACCGCTACATTCCTTTGTTGCATCGAAAAAAGGTTGTAAGAATTTTTTCACGTAAAATGCAATAGTCCATTCCCAATCTTCCAAATTATGTTCGGGTCCGAGTGTATGTCTACCATTATAATATAGTGAAATCACTTTATCGTAATTTTCACACGAATGTAACATAAGATATGTAGAGTTCCACCTGTGTGTTACATCAGTGGCAAATGATTTCTCCTGTAATCCATACTCTGCACACAAACTATTAAATGCTTGTTTTCTTGCTGGTGATACAGTAATAAAATTTATTGCTTGTCTAATTTTATCTAAAGGTGAACTTATATGTTCTAATCCAGCTTTTACAATCAAATTAATAATATGACATACGCAACGTTGATGAAAAAATAAATTTCCAAATACGGGATTAAGATCAGCAATAAATCTTTCAATAACAACTTTGTTCACTGCAGCATTATCAAAAGTAAAACTTCGAACCATATCTTGTATACCATATTCCTGTATGATATCTTTTAAAACCATGTATATATTAGTGGCATTATGAGGAAATTCTACACATCTAAATGCAATAATTCTTTTATGTAGAAGCCACAAGTGATCAATATAATGAGCCGTAGCAGCAATATAACCTTTTCTATTACAACCAGTCCATAAATCAGAAGTAAACGATATAACACTATTAAAACTTTTTAGACCTTCAATAGTAATTTGTTTTCTTCTATTATATAATTTTATGCTATCCGAACGAAGAGTATTTCTAGAATAAGAAGAATACCTCGGTTGGAGATATTTCTGCACGAGTCGGATAAAGTTTATTGAGTCTATCATCGTAAGCGGCATCTCTGCTGCAGCCACGTATGCAGCCATTCCTTCACGAAATCTTTCCTGTGAATATACAAAAGTGGAAAGAGTAGAATTAGAACCGCCAAACACTAGTTCGGTTTGTTTCGAGTCGAGATCGGCTGGTTTTGCTTTGCAACTCCTCAATACGTGTCTATTCAAATGCGTTGTGCTCGAACCAGGCTTCCAACTAAGTTCTTTGCCACAATAATTGCAACATGCTTTCCAAATATCTACTCCATTTTGAACACCAATTTTTTTTCGTGTCATATGTTGCCAACAGTCCGATGATTCTTTTTTTGACCTTTTTGTCTCGAGTACTTGAACTTCTTCCTCTTCAATATCCTCCAAATTAATTGGAACATTTTCACATGCATCGTAGTTAGATGGAGTACTCGAACTACCGTCAAACTGATTAACTTCATCACTTGTAAAATCCATAATAACTAGTATAATAAAAAATACTGAATATTAGACTGTAAAGTGAAAGAAATTGAATATATTAATTGTTATATGAGAAGTGACTAGTGAGAAAGAAGAAATTGAAACTTGAATCTGAATCTATGATATAGAAATAATACGAAGTAAAATCGATAGCAAAGTGATTTAAAACTTCAAAAATCATCTCGTATTTATAGATAAAAAAACCCGCATTATTTTTCAAATTTGAATTTCAAAAATATAACAGTATAATGTACTAATAGTCTAATACGAAAAAAAAAAGGCAGCTATATAGCTGAACCGGCAGCTAGGCAGCAGGTAAAAAATTTTTTTTTTCAAAAATTTTTTTTTTTTCCTTTTATTTGCTCTGGCCGAGCATTTTTGTCACTGGCCATTTTTGGCCCATGACACGAGCCGGCCCGTGTGGCTCGACGAGCCACACGGGCTTGCTCGGGCTCGGGCCGGCCTCTTATTTTGAGGCTCGGCCCGAGCCTAGGCTCGATCCCTACGAGCCACGAGCCGGGCAGGCTCGGACTTTTTCCGAGCCGAGCCACGAGCCGCCCGAGCCACCGAGCCTTTTTGACATCCCTATACTTCACTGTTTTCAGTAAAACGTCTATATCATATGATCTTGGAAAATTTTCATATTTTAACCTAAAAAACCACTTGAAATTATCTTTCTAATGCCACAAATATCATAGAAAACTGAGTTGGGATGAATTTTATAAAAATTGTCAAACTTTCTGCCTCAACTAATCTCGATAATGCCAAGGCCGTATATGTAAAGTATAATTTATTGTTGACATGCACTTTTGTCGGCTATCAAATTTTATAAGACTTATTTTACCGAGTTGAAAATAAGTTCTTAACATGAAATACTTCTATTTAAGAGTATTTACATGTACCAAAGGCAAAAGCTATTATGTTTAGTACGTGACCCTCGAAGCTTAAGTTCGGAGCGTCACATTTGTAAACTTATTTTTGACACGTTATTTAATACTTGCATTGTTGTCAAGTGTCAATTGGATGAGAAAATAGTTTGAAATTTAAACTGTCCAATAGTGTAATGTCAATTGGGAAAATGTAAACTAAAGTGTACACCATGCTGTACATGTACCGAAGTCATTACCAATTGGATGAGAAAACTATTTGAAATATAAACTTTTTAACAGGGTAATGTCACGTGGCAAAGTATAAACTAAAGTGTCCACCATAGTTCGAAGTAGCATGGTCCTTATCGATTGAACTTTCCTAATTGTACACTGATTTTTGACACGTTGTTTGACACTTGTATTTTCACCAACTATCCAAAAGGGTAATGTTATGTTGCAAAGTGTAAACTAAAGTGTACATATAGCAAGGTCCTTATCGATTGAACTTTGCTATTTGTACACGGATTTTCGACACGTTGTTTGACACTTGAATTTTTGTAAAGTGTCAATTGGATGGGAAAACTGTTTGAAATTTAAACTGTCCAACAGGGTAATGTTACGTGGCAAAGTGTAAACTAAAGTATACACCACAGTGTACATGCAGCAAGGTTCTTACCGATTGAACTTTGCTATTTGTACACTAATTTTTACACATTGTTTGACACTTGCATTGTTGTCAAGTGTCGATTGGATGGAAAATTGTTTGGAATTTAAACTGTCCAATAGGGTAATGTTATGTGGTAAAGTGTAAACTAAAGTGTACACCACAGTTTACATGTAGCAAGGTTCTTACCGATTGAATTTTGCTATTTGTACACTGATTTTTGACATGCAATTTTGCACTTGCATTGTTGTCAAGTGTCAATTGGATGGGAAAACTATTTAAAATTTAAACTATCCAACAGGGTAATGTCACGTGGCAAAGTGTAAACAAAAGTGTACACCATAGTGTACATGTAGCAAGGATCTTACGGAATGAACTTTCCTATCTGTACACTGATTTTTGACACATTGATTGACATTTGCATTATTCTCAAGTGTCAATTGGATGGGAACACTGTTTGAAATTTAAACTGTCTAACAGGGTAAAGTCACATGGCAAAGTGTAAACTAAATTGTACAGCATAGTGTACATGTAGCAAGGTCCTTACTGATTGAACATTGCTATTTGTACAAGTGTCGTTGGATGGAAAAACTGTTTGAAATTTAAACTGTCCAATAGGGTAATGTAACGTGGTAAGGTGTAAACTAAAGTGTCATGTAACAAGGTTCTTATCGATTGAACTTTACAATTTGTACACTGATTTTCGACACGTTGTTTGACACTTGCATTGTTGTCAAATGTCCGTTGGATGGAAAAAAAATGTTTAAAATTTAAACTGTCCAACACGATAATGTCATGTGGCAAAGTGTAAACTAAAGTGTACAACACGAAGCAAGGTCCTTACTATTTGCATGCTGATTTTTGAAACGTTGTTTGACACTTGCATTGTTGTCAAGTGTCCATTGGATGGAAAAACTATTTGAAATTTAAACTGTCCAATAGGGTAACATCATGTGGCAAAGTGTAAACTAAAGTGTACACCATAGTGTACACGAAGCAAGGTCCTTACCGATTCGACTTTGCTATTTGCACATTGATTTTTGATACGCTGTTTGACACTTGCATTGTTGTCAAATGTCAATTGGATGGGAAAACAATTTAAAATTTAAACTGTCCAACAATGTAATGTCACATGGCAAAGTGTAAACTAAAGTGTACACCATGGTGTACATGTAGTAAGGTCCTTACCGATTGAATTTTGCTACTTGTACACTGATTCTCGACATGTTGTTCGACACTTGCATTGTTGTCAAGTGTCTATTGGACGTGAAATTGTTTGAAATTTAAACTGTCCAATAGGGTAATGTCAAATGGCAAAGTGTAAACTAAAGTGTACACCATAGTGTAATGTAGCAAGGTTCTTACCGATTGAACTTTGCTATTTGTACACTAATTTTTGACACGTTATTTGACACTTACATTGTTTTCAAGTATCAATTAGATGGAAAAACTATTTGAAATTTAAACTATCCAACAGTGTAACGTCATATGGCAAAATGTAAACTAAAGTATAGGCCATGGTGTACATGTAGCAAGGTCCTTATCGATTGAACTTTGCTATTTGTACACTAATTTTCGGCATGTTGTTTGACACTTGCATTGTTGTCAAGTGTCAATTGGATGGGAAAACTGCTTGAAATTTAAACTGTCCAACAGCATAATGTCACGTGGCAAAGTGTAAACTGAAGTGTACACCATGGTGTACACGAAGCAAGGTCCTTACCGATTGAACTTTGCTATTTGTACATTGATTTATGACATGTTGTTTGACACTTGCATTATTGTCAAGTGTCAATTGGATGGAAAAATTGTCGGAAACATAAATTGTCCAACAGGGTAATGTCATGTGACAAAGTGTAAACTGAAGTGTACAACATAGTGTACATGTAGCGAGGTTCTTACCGATTGAATTTTGGTATTAGTGCACTGATTTTTGTCACGTTGTTTGACACTTGCATTGTTGTCAAGTATCAATTGGATGGAAAAACTGTTTGAAATTTAAACTGACCAGTAGGTAATGTTACATGGCAATGTGTAAACTTAAGTGTGTACACCATAGTGTACATGTGGTAAGGTTTTTATTGATTGAACTTTAGTATTTGAACACTGATTTTTGGCACGTTGTTTGATACTTGCATTGTTGTCAAGTGTCAATTAGATGGGAAAACTGTTTGAAATTTAAACTGTCCAATAGGGTAATGTCACGTGGCAAAGTGAAAACTAAAGTGTACACCATAATGTACATGTTGCAAGGTCATTACCGATTGAGCTTTGCTATTTGTACATTGATTTTTGACAAGTTGTTTAACACTTGCATTGTTAACAATTGTTCATTGGCTTGGATAACTATTTGAAATTTAAATTGTCCAGCAGGGTAATGTCACGTGGCAAGGTGTAAACTGAAGTGTATACCATAGTGTACATGTTGCAAGGTACTAACTGATTGAACTTTGCTATTTGTGCACTGATTTTTGATATGTTGTTTGACACTTGTGTTGTTGTCAAGTGTCAATTGGACAGGAAAACTGTTTGAAATTTAAACTGTCCAGTAGGTAATGTTACATTGTAAAGTGTAAACTTAAGTGTGTACACCATAGTGTACATGTGGAAAGATTTTTATCGATTGAACTTTGCTATTGGAACACAGATTTTTGACTCGTTGTTTGATACTTGTATTGTTTTAAGTGTCAATTAGATGGGAAAACTGTTTGAAATTTAAACTGTCTAATAGGGCAATGTCACATGGCAAAGTGTACGCCATAGTGTACATTTAGCAAGGTCATTACCGATTGAACTTTGCTATTTGTACACTGATTTTTGACACGTTGCTTGACACTTGCATTGTTGTCAATTATCAATTGGATGGGAAAACTATTTGAAATTTAAACTGTCCAATAGGGTAATGTCACATGGCAAAGTGTAAACTAAAGTGTACAGCTAACAAGGTTCTTATCGATTGAACTTTGCTATTTGTACACTGATTTTCGACACATTGTTTGACACTTGCATTGTTGTCAAGTGTCAAATGGATGGGAAAATTGTTTGAAATTTTGACAGTCTAATGGGATAATGTCACGTGGCAAAGTACAAACTAAAGTGTACACCATAGTGTGCATGCAGCAAATTCCTTACCGATTGAACTTTGCTATTCGTACACCAGTATTTGACATGATGTTTGACACTTGCATTGTTGTCAACTATCGATTGGATAGGAAATTTGTTTGAAATTTAAACTGTCTAACGGGGTAATGTCACGTGGTAAAGTGTAAACTAAAGTGTACACCATAGTGTACACATAGCAAGGTTCATACCGATTGAAATTTGTTATTTGTACACTGATTTTTTACACATTGTTTGAAACTTGAATTGTTGTCAAGTATCGATTGGATAGGAAAACCATTTGAAATTTAAACTTTCCAACAGGATAGTGTCACGTGGAAAAGTGTAAATTAAAGTTTACACCATAGTGTACATGTAGCAATGTTCTTACCGATTGACCTTTGCTATTTGTACACTGATTTTTGACACATTGTTTGATACTTGCATTGTTGTCAAGTGTCAATTGGATGAGAAAGTTGTTTGAAATTTGAACTGTCCAATAGGGTAATATCCCGTGGCAAAGTGTAAACTATAGTGCACACCATAATCTACATGTATCAAGGTCCTTACCGAT